TGTCAAATATTCAAGGAGTCTAACGACCCCTCACTTATTAGGTCCATCAAAAAACCTGATTTTTAGACCCCCCTCCCCCCCTCTGTCACAAAAATTCTATAAAAAAAAATTTCCATTGTTTGAACTGTCACAGAATCCTAGACCCCCCCCCCTAAATGTCAGACGTCATAAGTGAACGGCCCCATATCAGAAAAATCTTTTATGAAACCTTTTAATTTTGCTTACAAGAATATTTTAAATTAGTTGACATTTCAATTTCAATTGTTTTCAACAAAATTTCCATAATTTATCAAAAAGTTCAAATGTTGAAAATTTCAATCAATATTTTTTTTTATTTTTAAATCTACCTTTTTAAAAAAGTAAAATATTTCTACACAAAGTACTACAATTTAACACAAAAACACCAGCATTAAAAATACTAATGTATGAATAGTTCCAAAAAGTCAACAGTCAATCAACAATTGTCAATAAGGTTTATTGAAATAATACATTGTTGTTGTACTTATTAGCTTGCTTCCGAGATTATTATGTAAGAAATATGAAGCTCTTTAAAAAGCTATAGAATTGTTTCTTTGGAAAATATGAGAGAATGCATAACAAATTATGCAATACTTTTTTCTAGTGATATCTAGAAAGCTACATGTTTTAGATAAATCTAGAATATTAAGTTCAAGTCCAACATTTTTCAATATTATTATTCCTATTGAATTTTCGAGTAGCTTCATTCTTCCTTCTACAGACGACATATTTTAACTTGCTATAATTCACATCAATTTTAAGCTTTTAATCTGAATTCTAGACAATATTCTCCCATCTAAAAAAATCATTTCCATTTAAGTTAATCCATTTCATTCTCCATTAATAATCTCATCCATCAAAGTATTTTATACATCTGGACTGTAAACATTAACAATTCTCCTTCATTCATTACATTCGTGTACGAATCACGACTCTATTAATTACAATAATTGTATTAGCCACACGATTTCTGTTTCTCCTTCTGACATATGAATTTCATTTGCGTGATTCCTGCTATAATTCCGTGATATTTATGGCAAATTTTTTTTTAAATCCTATAAAACACAGGACTTGTGTGATACATTTTAAATTCTTATGCTTTACGGAGCTTAAAAAATAGTTGCATGTGTTATCAATTTAAGCAAATATTGTGATACTTAAATACAAATGAAAGGATTTCCTTTATTAAATTTATTGTTTTTTAAGTAACTGTAAAAAATTTTGGATGTTTCTTAAAAGAACATTTTTGAGACGTGACTTACTTAAGCTGATGGGAATAAAAAAATATTTACATTTTAGTTCTTTCTCTTTTTGATGAACTAAAGCTTAGCTAGTTTTTGTTTTGCAAATCGTTGCTGGAAAAACATTTTCTCAAAATTGTATCAAGAAATCTCAATTGTTATAAAAGCTATGCTTTGTCCATGCAATGCGTGGGTCATAAAAAAGCTGTTATTTTAGATTATGAAGTAGAATTATTAATTCGGCAAATCTGAATGATTCTATGCTATTTTAAGAAGCACGACTTTTCAAAAATTCATATTTCCTCGTAAATCTATTCCATGTTCTCAGTTTTAAGTAGTGTAAATGGCATAAAGCACAGAAACAAAAAATTATGACATGACTTCAATATTGGTTCAAGGATGTATCATATTCTGTGACTTAATGACTGAGAAACATTGAACAATGGTACATACAAGTTTTAACTCTAATTTAACAGCTTCAGACCAGAGTGAGATGTAGACTGAAATTCTGTTTGGTTTAGTTGACTCAACTCCAAAAGAAAACCTAAGTTGATTCGACCTCTGCTTAAAACTTACGCCTGGCTAAACCTTAATTTTTATCCATCTGTACAAAATAAGTTCGTCTCAAAGTTGCAACCTATAAGTCATACGACAACTGATCTTCTATAAAAGTCAATTTTATACAGCTTAAAAGCAAAGATTAAAACTAGGTTGATTTTTTGTTACTCGAGAACTTAAGTGAAGCTTCAATCACTGCTTAAAAGCATAAAACAAATTCTAGTAGCATCTAATGGAATGTTCTCGAGCTGAATCTGAAGCTTTAACAGTACCTAAGCAAAAAAATAATATTATTCAGTATTGAACGTCAATTCCTGATACGAACAATTCAAGAGTTTCGACCGTTACAGTTTCCAAGTAAACTTGTGAAAATGTCTTATTTGTCTGTCTGCCATACAAAATTCGAAGTTTCATACCCTTCAGTTCGAAATTTTCGAAAATTACAAATAAATAAAAACTTAAATTAAACAAGTTTTATATGAAATATAGACGAAAATATTATGTAGTCATTTAATGATCAGCATAATATAGCTAAAACTTTTATAAAACGATCAAAAACTCTAATAAAATCACTAAAATTGTAACGGTTTCTTTCAAATTTAAACTTTTCGAACGTGCATATTATAACTCCCCTAGACTTTCGATAAGTCTGTCGAACATGAATTGTTCGTATCAGGTCAATTCCTTTTTTTACAATGTAAATGAAAATGAATATGACTATTAGCATTGAGCTTGTTGATACAAAATATATGACTTTTTTCTTCGAATGTAAATGAAAAGACTCGATTATTTGGTTCAAGAACTCAATTGTGTGCGCTTTCATAGTTACTTATAAAAAGGAAAAACATCGTCGATCATATGTGGGGGAAGCTTTTAGGCAATGATAAATGTTCTGCTTTCATCTCCTCCTTAATTTTCCTTTCAGGAATATCTACTTACATGTTTACTTACTTAAATATTCTATGCACATCAATAATCGTGAAAAAAAAATATATAATAGACGTAAATTCTCGTACCCAACATGTTCTTTTTTTTTCGTCTCAGTGATAAGTGAACTGTATGGAATTTGACATCCAATATATTTATTTCTCGCATCAGCAATTGACTTTTATATTTATTTATTTATTTATACATTTGCATAATATTTAAATTCGCCATTAAATTTTACACATGAATGACAGTGTATGGCTGACAGAATATGAATTTTAAATAACCTAATTGTCACATGTCTTTCTATCTTTATTTTACTATATTGTTGAATTAAAAACTAGCAATAAATTTAATTTTGAAATTGGACTTTTTTAGGGCAAACAATCGCAATAAATTTAATTTATCCCCGAGCGGCACAAAGGCTCCATTTGCCTTCCATATGGAAGCTATACGGAGCCTCCATGTTCCACCCTCCATTTGAAAATCTTCCGAAAACCTTACTATCTTGGAACCTTGACGGAGCCAAAGCTCCGAAAATCTTCCGTGGGACGTGCATTTATTAACACCAAATGGAAGTCATTTGAGAGGTTTTGATGGAGGATGGAGGATTCATTTGTGGTAGTCAAACGGAGGTTTAATGGAAGTATTTTTCAAAGGATTTTTGGTACGATTTTCCACGTGTTTTTCTATGTTTCGCAATTTTTATATCAAGATTTGTAGCTGTATTAGTGGACTTAATTAAAGTACACTAACACTATTGAAAAATTTACAACTTAATTTAATTAAGTCGCAACCACAGCAATTTCTAAGTCTCGATCACACGCGTGAGAAACATAAGAAATTATTAAAAATTTTCATACAAATTAAACGACCCCATATAATAGTGATTTCTGCATGCGCTTGTGAAGTATGTAATTTCATACAAAATCACAAAAAATTATCCTTTTTTGCTTTTTTAAAGCTTGAAATGAAGCAATATGATTCAGTAAAGCTTTTCGACAATATTTCAATCCATTACAGTAAGATCTGACCTCTGTCTTTTAAAAATTCAAAAGCACGAGTTTTTCGGTATTTGATTTAAGAAAAAGCGGAGTTCATATGGAATCCAAATGGAATCAATAAGAAGGATGAAAAAATAACCCTCCATTTACTTTCCACATAGTAGAGGTGGCTTTCATATGGATTCCATATGGAGACCACCCTCCACCTTGTGCCGCTCGGGATCCAAAATAAAAATGTTCACATTACACAGGCACCAGCACTGTTTGAATATTTTTTAGCACTATCTTGTAAAAGCTAAATATTATATCATCCAACTTGGTTTTTGATGACTAAATGACTCATCAACATTGTAGCTCAACTGAATCAGTAATTAATTAATTTGTTGTTTTGACTTGAAAGATAAGCTAATGTGGGAGATGTTGCTCAAAAAGGCATTCTAATGGAAACATTTTTGTAGGATTTGGTAATTTATCAGTCTATTGACTTTCTGAAATGCTTAATGAGATTAAAATGTTAATTTTTTTGATGCTTTACTAGAAGATTGTTTGTTGAACTCGCGTGTGAAATTTAGGAAGCTTATCTTGTAAGATATTAAAGATCTCTTGGCTATAGATTGTTTGTGAAGAATATCCATCCATTATGAGGATGAATGTGTTCAGTGTAGGGTCAAATGTTGTAGAAATCAGATTCTTAAGAACTTTTCAAGTTTGATCAAAACATTATCTTGTTGATTTAATGACTCGTGCTGGTTTGCAACTTACCCTTTCTTCAGAACAAGGGTGCGAAACTGTACCTTAGTACCACACCCTTACTTTAGAATCGAAAATCAATATTTTACATACTGTGACTAAGTGTAGCCCGGAAAGCCCTAAGAGCCAAACCCTCAGCATATCTCTTCACTGATAGTAGAAATATTACTAAGATTCATAATATCTATTCAAAATTGCTATTGCATAATCCTCAAAGTAGAAAAATGCGCTACATCCACAGCCTCATCTTCCAATATACTCAATTTTCCACATCGAATATCTTTGCATTTTTTAAAAAATCATCAATATTGAAAATAGAAATTTACAAGTGAACGTAAGGGAAGGGAAAATCAACTAATAGTGGCAATTATTTTTGAAAATTAAATTAATTTAAATTGAGATTGCATGAAAGATTATAAATCTATTTTCTGACTACATTCCAGTATTTTTACAAAAAAAAAATGTGCATATACTAAATGCATTTTCTTTTTTTTCCTTTCAGTATCTGGCATTTTTCTTCTCCACTAACTGCACATTCATTATCAATCAGCTATTAGAAATAGAGGAAGACGATTCACTATAGCTAATATTAAAAATGGATCACGCAGTTAAAGCATCGCGTTCACATCCGTGGAACAAATTGCGTTTTGAGAATGATGAATTGGAGGAATTGTATCAGAGATATACGCACAAAATACAATGGATTTCAGTATTTGGTGTCGTTACACTGATTGTCTTGCTTACTGGAATTATGGCCATATTGAGCCTTTGCTATAATCAAGCGGCTACAATTCATGTAAGTATTTAATGAACATTAATCCATAAGCGGGATTTATGGATGGACGTATCAGTGAATGTATGATTAAATAAATTAAAGTTAACCTTGGAAAAAAGTTTTAAGGCATATTAAAGCTATTAATCGAATAAAATTTTATTTTTGGAAGTTTTCATCGATTTCTATCAAATATTCAAGCTTGTATTATGTATGATTGGGACATTAAAGTTGTACTTGAGTCTTTTAATACTTTGAAAGGAAAATTAAATACATTAAAAGTTTGCCTTGAAGATTTTTCGTAAATTCGCTTGTTTTCTATTTATTCTGAGTTCTTGAAAGCCTTTCTTGCTTTTTATTTAATGATGTTATTGCGAAATACTCAGTTATATTAGTCTAATAATTAAATTAAAGCATAATTTTGATGAAGTTGGTGGTTTGAAAAGAGCCTTATATATGAAAATAAATGAAAGGGGTGTTCAACTGATTAATATTTTAAAAATAATTCAACCGTTTTAAATTAATTGATTGCAAATGCCAGATTGATATTCAAATTAATTTCTTTTCTGTTCATTTATCATAAATGTCATGGCTAATAATACTCAACATTGTCAATTCCAAGCAACTTAAAATTCATTCCATCCATAAAGTCCGCGCTATCATCATTTTGTAATCAAATTCTATTAATAATCCTTCTCTTCTTAATATTTACATCTTCTTCTTCTTTCCAATATGTACACAGAATGTTTTCAATGGATGCCTTTGTCTCTTATTTACCATCATTTTAATATTGTTGAAATTTCGTATTATTCGTGATCATCATTTACCATACTTGTGTTACGTCATCTTATTCTTTGCGGCTGCATTTTGCGTCATTTCAATGCCTGATATTAGTGGTATAACATTGCCAGTTGATACGCGTACGGTTATGGTGGAAGGTGTATGGCAAATTGTTTTTGTAATATTCCTTGCTTATGCGATGTTGCCACTGAAAATATGGCAAGCATTCTTATTCAGCATTACATTACCAATTGCTCATCTTGGTGTTACCGGCTTCTACATTTACAATGGAAGATTTCAATATTTAGAATACAATCAATTAGCTGCAAACATTTTCATTTTTGCTGGAATCAATGTTGCTGGTATTGTTATAAATATCATGATGGAACGTGCTCAACGTCGTGCATTTCTCGATACGAGAAATTGTATTGCAGCACGTCTAGAAATGGAAGATGAAAATGAGAAACTCGAACGTTTGTTGCTGTCAGTTTTACCCCAGCATGTTGCATTGGAGATGAAAGCCGATATATTGTCGCCGGTTGAGGGACAGTTTCATAAAATTTATATTCAAAAGTATGACAATGTTAGTATATTGTTTGCTGATATTGTTGGATTTACAGTACTCGCCAGTCAATGTACCGCACAAGAGCTTGTTAGATTGCTAAATGAACTATTTGGAAGATTCGATCAACTCGCACATGATAATCATTGCTTACGTATTAAAATCCTCGGAGATTGCTATTATTGCGTCAGTGGATTACCTGAAGCAAGAACTGAACATGCTAAAAACACTGTTGAAATGGGATTAGATATGATTGAAGCAATACATGCAGTTGTGGAAGCAACAGACGTGAATCTCAATATGCGAGTTGGAATTAATAGTGGACGAGTGCTGTGCGGTGTTTTGGGTTTGAGGAAGTGGCAGTATGACGTGTTTGGTGATAATGTGACAATTGCAAATCACATGGAGTCAGGTGGTGAACCTGGACGGGTTCATATAACAAGAGCAACACTCGATGCTTTAGGTGGAGAATATGAAGTTGAAGTTGGTCATGGTGGTACGAGAGATCAGTATTTAAAAGAACATGGAATCGATACATACTTTATTGTACCTCCTATTCATAGACGAAAAGTAAGCTTATACAATTAATTCTATTGTTTCGCAAATAACTATTTATACTTAATCTTCGCACTATACAGCCATTAATGCTCAACACATTAGGCGTAAGATCAGCTGTTGGCGAGGCAAATCGAAGAAAATTATCATTTAGGAATGTCTCAAATGTTGTTGTACAGCTATTGCATACTATTAAGCCATACTCTGTACCAGCACCATTTTCACATTTAGCAACAGGAAGTGGATTTAGTAATGAGAGTGCAGGAATGGGAACACAGGATAATAAAACCAGACAGGTGAGAATGAAAATTTTCTTAATTATTTACAAAATGTGAAATGAGTTTCTATTTCCGGCGTATTTTCCGTGAAGAAAAAGCAATGGAATTTTGTTTTTTGTTTGTATGATATTGATGAGGATCTTTGAACGAAAATGTTATTGACTCTTTCTGTGAGTGATTTATGATCAATCAGGAAGTATTTCTCAAAAACAATAATTTTTTATGTACTTTGTGTACGCAGATATGATGTATTGAAGCTTTAAAAATTAATTCATAAGAATTTGGAGCATATGTGCACTAGGAAGCTGTTTCTAGTGCTAAGAGGGTTTCTTTGATTTTAATTTATACCCTAGAGCCGAGTTTGTCGATTTTCGATTCATTTTAGACAAAACATAGATCTAGAAATTAGACAAAATGAATTTTGGCAATATTGGTCCCCGAGCGGCACTAAGGCTCCATTATGGAGACAATCCTTCACCTTGTGCTGCTTGGGGTACCGATTAGCAAATGTAGTGTTCATATGAGAAATACCAATTGAAAAATATTGTACTCGATTAAGCAACTTTCATCTGACTTCAAGTCAGATCGAAGTAAATCTTTAAATTTAAATTTTAAATGATCTAAGCTACTTTAACAAGCAAAGTTGATATCAAACATACCCAAACATTGAAGTTGGACCGAAAGGACTGAAATGTAAAAAGAAAACCTTAACCAAGCTGGTGTTTGGTTTGTTAACTCTCTGTTAAAGTAATACGTCAATGCATTTCATTTTCATTACCAGAAATTTTATATAAATGCTTCTGTATTCCAAATATTCGTTCTATATCATTTTTGGGATTTTTTAATCTGATTGTACCAAAATAGACCTGGGATTTTCTATACCAAAAATTCCTATGATAAGAACTAACGACGAGTTGCTTATCGCTAAGCAATTCCTACAAAATCATACAAATGATTAGCAATAAATATCTAATAAGCTCAATCCCACGGAAAATGCGTCCAGTCCCCATCAACACCAAAAAGTAAATTACCACCTCAACTTATTTCGATTATTCTTTGCATTTTAAAAAATTTCCTTTTGTTTGGATAATCTCCATCGACTTGAATTTATATGAACTTATACTTAAAAATGTTCTGTTTTTCTCACTTTTACTTTTTTCATTCTTCTTTTTTTTTTGAATCAACAACGAACAAAAAAAATCTTTTTCTACGCAAAAATAATAAAAATATATATCTTTTAGTACTTTGTAAGTTTATAAGCTTTGTTTCAAGTGTAGATTGTTATAGTATAATCTTTATGTTTTTTGTTTATAATATGGATTGGTGATTGCTGCTTAAAAAAATTCGAGTGAAATTAAAAAATAAATTCTTTTTGTTATATCCAACAACTAATGATCCAAACTGACATTTTTATTTCCTCTTTCCTAAATAAACATTTATAGAATAAAGTGACGGAAAAATTTAAACGTCCATTCAAGAAGCGACATTCAAATCTATATCATCAGCCATCAAATCGTGTTAATAAATTCTTAGCTCAAGCGATTGAAGCACGCTCGGTGGATCGAGAAAAGACAGCACACGTCAATCGATTTACTTTGAATTTTCGTGAGAACGAAAAGGAGAAAAGTTATCATCAAGATTTCGATTTTGGATTTACAATGTCTATGTGCACAAGTTTAATGCTATTGATTTTAAGTGCTGGCTTACAAGTACGTAGTCTACGTCTATAAATTTATAATTTTAATCTAATTAATAAAATTAAATTATCCTTTTGCTCAGGTTTCGGCGTTACCTCGCACACTCATTTTACTACTGCTATTCCTGACTGCATTTATATGGATATCAGCAATCTTAATGCTTATTATGGCTGCTAGATTAAAGTGGATTTATTGGGATGTAGCACAAAGTTTCTCTCTTAGACTCGCCATTACGATCTTTACAATCATCTTAGTGTATTCTGTCGGGCAGATGAATGTCGTAAGTTGCTCTATTTATTCCTTTTTTATTTTATTGTGAATTTTAAAATAGTTGTAAGCAGTTTGTTCTTAATTGTCTGGCTGTTTACTAAAGATTTGTGTTTCATTTCTCGTACTAACCTAATTAAGTTCGTTTGATATTGAGATGATAAACTGCGAAGTATAATTTAATGTTTTAGGACGACAAAATTTTGATTTAATCAAAATTGGATCTTACTTCTTATCTGCGATGATAATTGACAAAATGCGAAATTAATCCACAATATTTAGATAACGATTTGGATTTTGGTGATGCCAAATTATGTGTCTTTAATTATTCACTTTCTTAATCAGAAATTTAATTAGGTTTTAAGCTACTTTAAAATTGTAGAGTCGTGTTCTTCATATTTTGGTTCTGATAAGGTTCCTACTTTACGTTCAATATATTATGACAAGCTTCAAATCTGAGTTCCCTAAAGCTACGAATCTTTAATTCGAAAAAAAGTAAACTTGATTTTTCGAAATATTCAAATTCTGCTAGAGATTTGCTTTAAACACTCCTAGATTTATGATAATCTTCTTTATTAAGATCTGTTTCTAGATTAACCGCGTCAAATGAAAATATTTTTACTATCCCCATCCCCAATTATTTTGTAACATTCTCTAAATAGATTTCTATTATAAATTTTAATGATTTTTCGCTCTTCTAAACGACTAAGGCCAATGACTTGGAATTGTCTGCTTCGCATATCCAATCGAGCGCTATAAAGTATCTTATTTGATGTCTTATTCATCCATTAACAATATCCTTACATGATTAAAGCATTCTCTCCCATTTATGTCATTTCTTTTACAGTTTACATGTCTCAGTGATGATCCATGTGATACAAATTTTACAACACCCCGAATTGAAGATCCTAGCGATTTTGACAGGCATCGACGGTGTGCTCTTCCACAATATATTGCATTATCAGCAGCTTATGCGTTTATAACAGTATCGATATTTTTGAGGTAATGATATTGAGAGGAAGGATGAGATACAGCTAGAATAGATAAAATTCTAATGAAAAAATTGCCTTTTTATTATTGTCATTTACTATCTTTAGGCTACCAATTCTTGTCAAATCAATATTGATTCTATTGATGGGAACTTCATATTCTCTATTTATTGAAATTTCACATGCTCATATATTTGATTGTTACGATAACCGAGTTGTGTAAGTTGATTTCTAAATTCTGTCTCTTTTTGTATTGTCGACATTATGTATGCACATTTTGAATGCCTTTTTTTTATATTCGTCTATACAGCTCATCAATACCACTTCATACAATGTCGTTGGCACACATTGTTATTTTCATGATAGCCGTGCTTACACATGGACGTCAAGGTGAGAAAGCGACATAAAAGAACTTTTATTTTCATTCCTAGTCTCATGATTGTTATTCGTATTATAATGCTTATTACAAATATAATGTTTGTCTATCAAAATGTCTAGTTGAGTGGACAGCGCGTTTGGATTTTCTTTGGCAACTTCAGGCATCACAAGAGAAACGTGAAATGGCGGTTTTGCAACAGTCAAATAAACGTATTCTTCATAATCTTTTACCATCTCATGTTGCTGCACATTTCTTAGGTTTGATGGAACAAAATTTGATTCATAATGATTTGCAAATATTTATTGTTAAATTTCTGTGAAGTAGACTTCCAGTTTCGCAACAACATGGGAACTCTCAGACAGGATCTATATCATCAAAGCTATCAAAAAGTTGGAGTTGCTTTCTGCTCGCTTCCTAATTTTAAAGAATTTTATACAGAACTCGATGGTACAAATCAGGGCAGTGATTCAAATGAATGGAATATAGGAATAGAATGTTTACGGTAAGTCAATAAATGCACTTTCTTATCAAAATGACTGTTTTGTGTACATTTTGTTGCATTTTATAAATAAAAATATATTTACTTCCTCAGATTGCTCAATGAGATTATTGCTGATTTTGATGAGTTGCTGTGCGACGAACGATTTCATGCAATAGATAAGATAAAGACAATTGGGTCTACATATATGGCCGCTGTTGGCTTAATACCAGAGTATAAAATTATTCAAAACGATCCACACTCAACTAGAAGATTAATGACATCCCTCATTGAATTTATTCGTGCGATGCGGGTTAAACTGAAAAATATAAATGACAATTCGTACAATAACTTCATGTTAAGAGTGGGAGTTAATATTGGCCCTGTAACAGCGGGAGTCATCGGAGCGAGGAAGCCTCAATACGGTGAATACTCAAAAAAAATCTATCTTTTTAATCTTTCTTACTCTTAAGCAATAAAAACATTCTTATTACCGAAATCATTCATGTAGCAATAATCTGAAAACTATTGAATCAATTGAAGCAACTCGAAAAAAGAATAAGAATCTGACTGTCTGTTTCTTTCCATTAATAGCGGACTTATTTTTTGTTCCTATGATGTGCTTTATCATTCACTTTGACTTGTTGGATGTTTTGATTGATTTATTGGCATTTTTAGCTGTGTTACTTTAAGTTAAATGAACTTTGGAACAGCGATTTATCTCATCTTCAATACTATTTCTTTAAGGGAAGTTCAAGAAGTCAGTTTAGATTGCAGTTTGTATTTGAATTATTGACGATTCAAAGGTTTTTGATTTAATTAAGCTAATAATAGTTATTTTTAATGATTCACAAGGTTTAATTATAATATTTGAATCTTTGAATTCTGAAATTTGACTGAGTTTGGTGAATCAATTTTTTTTTTCATTTTAATTGCACTTTATTGCATTTTATTGACGACACACTGTCCGGTAATAATTCACATTTTACACTTTTGTATTTGTATACATATGAATTAGTATTATGTAGAATCAAACTTCTAATCTTCAAATCTAGGTTTCAAATAAACTAAGGCTCTCGTTTCGATCTTCTGTAGGCGTGACGTGATACTTTTCAGGTCCGTTCTAACAATATTCCATTCGTGGGTAATCTTGTAGCTCTCGTTCATATTTCTCGCGCTACACTTCAAGTTCTTGACCCGTTCCTTAATCCAACGTTGCCCAAATGCCCAATTATGGCTTAAACTCCTACATTAAGCAGTCGAAGTATCTAAACGTCCGAAAAAGAACAAATTTGGAAATGGCTGGATTCGAACCGACTACCTTCGAGTTACCATCCCAAATTTGAGCCAAGCGCCTTACCTATTCGACCAGCAAGGCACTTAACTGCTTTTCAATCTTGACTATCTTTAGTTAAAATTTCAAATAAAGATAAATAAATTTCTTCAAAATTCGCTTTAACTCATGCAATCAACTTTTTCTACTAAAATCAAATTTTTTTATTGATAGTATCATAAAATTGTCATTCTGTTCTCCACGAATATCATTACTTGAATAAATTCCGACTCGTGTTTTTATTGCATTCATCAATTTACTTTTGATACATGTCAAATTTTTCTCCTTAATTACATCACTGTCTTGTATTTATTGTTTCAAAATTCATTTATTGTTTACTAATATCGATGATTTCTTTTTATTAATTCAAACAGATATATGGGGCAATACAGGTCAGTAGTTAATATGATGATAATATTAAATGTCGTTCAATAAATGACGTACTTATTATTTTTTTTCCATTTCAGTAAACGTTGCATCACGTATGGATTCGACAGGTGTACCAGGCTATACACAAGTAACGCAGGAGGTTGTTGATAGTCTTCAAGGATCACATTTTGAATTCAAGTGCCGAGGTCAAATAAAAGTAAAGGGCAAAGGTGATATGGTTACTTATTTTTTGATAGACTCAAAACCTTCAAATGAAATTGGTATGGAAATGATACACTTGCGTCATCAAAATTATCACGAAAATGCAAATTATCAAGGAAGCGCTATAAACAAAGAAATTTATATGAAGAAGAAAAATTTTGGCAATTTCCTAGAAGAAAAGCCGTCAACATCGAATCATAACAATTATAACAATGGGAATTTATATAATGGAATGAACCTAACAGAGAATTTAAATTATGTAAAGCGTGAATATGACAATTATAATAAAATCAATATCAATAACCATTATAACATTAATAATTATAATATTCACGGACAGCAGCAACAGCCACAGCTTCCTCAGCTTCCTCAACCCCCACCACCACAGCCTCAATATCACCAACAATACAATATACGTGAGAATTTTAATATTATTGAAAATCCTAGTGACAAACAGCCACCACAGCCTCAACAGCAGCGAAGCAATTATCTTGACCGAGAAGATTCTCCACATTATAGTAATCATTATAATATAACTAGAAATGATCATGAGCATGAGCCCTTATTGACGAGTACAAATGTAATGCCCAAAGTTCTCTACCGAGCCGAACAGACTAGTAAATATGAGCCACCTCAATATGTAGGAATGCCTTTTCAACGCTCTATACAGCCTATGACACACTATAGACATTATCAGCCACAATCTCATTATAATCATCCTCAATATCACAATCAACAGCCTCAACAACCTTTACAGCAACAGCCAATATATGTGAAAAAGCAAACAAATTCAGCACCGCTTCGTTATCATCACACAAGTAGTAGTAATAACAATATGAATGGAAATAATAACAATGATGTTGTTGAGGCATATATGAAGCCATTACCAAAACTTCCCACACACTGCGAGAATGAGAGTCGAGAAATGTCATCAACAGATGATCTAAGTCATAGTGAACATAGGCAATCTATAAGTGCTGACTCAAGTTCAGATGAAAGTTATTCGAGAACAGATGACTGTGATCAAAGTAATTTGAGGCTTGATATGCCAAATATTGAACAAAAACATGAAAACAAAAGGAATCCTGTATTAAAAGATTTACATGATTATGAAATAAGTTCAACAACTGACCATACGGTCTCAACTATTCCAATGAACAAAGGTGAAAGCTGTAATAGCTTTGAATTTCATAATGACAAACGTGAGTTGAGTTTTGCTTATTTGATTTGCGACACTTCTAAAAATAATTTGAATTGTGATGCGCTTTTGTCATGGATTGAAGTATTGCGGGGGAACTGGTTTTTGTTAAACAATTTTTGAAAAGATTGAGGTACTCTTAAGTAAATCAGAGGTTTTAATATGGCTTAAATCTGTTGCCATAGCTATTCTGGTTTTTCAGTATATTCCATCAAAACTTTGGGATATACTTTGTTGTCTATGAGAATCAACATAAGGACCAACTACTTAGGTTTCATTTTCCATTTTAACTGCACTTTATTGCATTTATTGACGACATACTGTCCGGAAATAATTCACATTTTACACTTTTGTATTTGTGTACAAATGAATTAGTATTATGTAGGATCAAACTTCTAATCTTTATATCTAGGTTTCAAATAAACTAAGGCTCTCGTTTCCATCTTTTGTAGGCGTTACGTGATACTTTTCAGGTCCGTTCTAACAATATTCCATTCGTGGGTAAATCTTGTAGCTCTCGTTCCTATTTTTCCCGCTACACTTCAAGTTCCTGATCCGTTCCTTAATCCAACGTTGCCCAAATGCCCAATTATGGCTTGATCTCGTACATTAAGCAGTCGAAGTATCTAAACTTCCGAAAAAGAACAAATTTGAAAATGGCTGGATTCGAACCGACGACCTTCGAGTTACATCCCAAATTTGAGCCAAGCGCCTTACCTATTCGACCAGCAAGGCATTTAGCTGCTTAAACTGTACTAGTTTAAACTGTACTAGACTACATTCTTGACCAAACCATTAGAATTACTAAAATGCATCCTCATTTACAACTTTCATCATTTCAAGATATTTCCCAGCACAATGACCTCTGTGGAACCTTCAAACAAGACAAGAAAGCACCTTCTGTCGATATATAAATCGATTATTATAGATGTAATAATTATTAACCATAATTCTGTCTTTCCAATTTTAGCTTTTCCAAAATCGCCATTTGAACGCGAGCTACAGCGACTTTTGAATGAATCGGCAAAGAACAAAATCATGCCAGCACACGGCAACGTTAATAAAACAAATAATTTGGATTCAACGAAAAGAAATGTGTCGTCGTCAAATGGAAATAATAATAATAATAATAGTAATGGCATTTATGGAAGGAAAACAAGTGGCAATGCTGTTGGCTCGTTGCCGAGCTCATCATCAGGAAATAATAATAATAACAACAACAACAACATAAGATTAAGTGATGTTGATGATAATTCATGTATTGATACAAATAGTTTAAAACATCCCGTTGGTCTGGAAGCAATTAAGGAAATGACGCGAAACAAAAATATTGAGAACTTATCGTAAGTTATATTGTCCTTCCTGGCTTGTCATTTTTAATTAATTTTAATTGTTCAATAATTATGTTTATGTCAACTTCCTTCTCTCATCCAACAGCCTTGAAAAACGTCAACAGGATGCACAGCATGTCCATCAACATCACCAACTTAGTCATAATAATCTTGATGAGCCAACAAGTATATCAAGCTATAGTCGTAACAGTAGCCGACGAGATAATTACGCAAGTGAAGATGAAAAATTAAAGTCCGAGGATATTTCAATTCCATTTTCAAATGAGAATCTCAAAATTAGTGCCAGTACAAGTCAAAATCCACTAGAGACAAACATGGAGAGTCAGTCTGAATGGAGTGAGGATGAATGTAAGGATGATGTTGCTGGTTGTGAAAGTACTGGATATATAACGGAAGATGATCCAGTTTTAGAGAACTTAAGCTTACTTAATGAAGCTGGTTTGACAGATGCTGAAGGTAAGATTTATTTTTGGCCACATTAAGAATCAATATTAATTTGATTTTTTTTGTATCTCCAATACAGGTGCTTTAAGTGATGTAAATTCATTGTACAATGCTCCCGATGATACATCAATATCAAGTAGTAGAGCCAGTAGTCGCTTTGAATTAAGTCTAGACTCATTGAGCGGCCTTTATGATTGCGAAGTAGATTCAAAAAATGAATTGGCAATTGTAAGTGTATCAAATAAGATAACTAGTAAGTTTGGTCCTCAAAATTAAGGAAAGAAATAAAAAATAATCTCAAATTGAGGTAATTCTATTAGACGCTAACACAAAAATGATGATAAACTAATGTAAAATGTCACATTTTCGCTTAATCTTTATGTATATACATAATCTATCACACACAGACAAAAATCTTTTCAATTTTATCTATCCACAAAATTTTTGCCATTCTCATGCAAGATTAATAAAAAAGGAAACTCATGGTATTACACAGAAAAAGTGAAAGAAAGAAAAGAAAAATTGAAATTTTATAGAACTTAAGGTACTCAAATTAAGCACGGAACAAATTTTTTTTGATGCTATAAAAGGAAATGAATCCTTTCCCCTCCGAATTACACCTTTTCTTGATTGAATTAATTTTTTATAGCTCTTTTTTATATATTTTTTGGTACGATTTTATATCGCATTTAATTTTTATTCCTTAATGTGTCTCTCTCTCTATCTTTTTGTAAACGAATCGAATTTTTTTTTTAAATTTTTATTAGAAAAATAATTTTTGATAGAAATTGTGAACAAGATACACTAAAATATCTTTAAAAGATATCAGAGGGTGGTAAGAGTGTGTTGGAATTAGGAGTTTTATGATTAGAATTTAAGTTTTGGCTTGACGCAGCTAGCAAATCAGAAACATTAAATCCCAAAAAATCTACAAAAACCCAGCACTTCCTAGCATCAAACCACACGAAATTCTTAAATTATTCATCAATTTAAGCAAGAAATTCAATGGGATTCAAGATTTGATGAAAGAAGTGATGGCATTTTTTGAGATTTCAGGAATTAATCCCGAGTGTATACATCTTGACAGCTAGCTTGGTTTTAATGCAATTAAAAGCTAATGATTGTTCGATAAAAGAATGTTCAACAAATCTTGTCTTCTAAATTGAACTTTAAGATTTAGCCCACTTTACCAGTCAGATAAAGTAAAACTTTTAAGATAGTTGATAAGCTGGCAGACAAGAGTTTTTGCTAAGTCTCAAACTCATGATTTTTATTAGTATTACGATGTTCGAATATCAAAAATATGATTCTTATCGAATGCACCTAATATGAAACCTAGCTATTTAAATTGATTTCAGAATAATTAAATGGATAGTTTTTCAAAGACAGAGCCTTCTAATATTTTCTGTTCAACCCCCTATCCCCTCAAAAATATTTCTGGCTACTGTAATGTAACTGGACCCGATCTGGAAGAGCTACCCAGAGCACCATACCTCGCAACAGATTAATTTTATTTTTATTCCATATTGTAGTCCACCAACATAAAAAAATTAAGTACAGCAGCTGCTTATTATTTAAAAATTTGATAGAAATCTTCTTAAAAAGTTCTAAAATCCATTAATTCCAACCATCTTCCAATCCCTCAACAACCATGATTATCGTATGTGAATCTTTTTATTAAATGATTTGACTCTTATTTTAATTGTGAAGTAACGAACCGTAAGTTTTAAACGGTTTTAAATTTAGAATTTACTTAATGAATGCTTTAAAAAGGTATCAATTAGATAAATAATTTAAGTTATTATACATGAAATACTGTATTAAGGATTATACAAACAAAACAAAACCATGAATTGAGATAAATTGGATATAAAAATTATTAATGAAAGGTGCAATAAAAAGTTAAAATTGTAGAGTCATGTTGATTATTTTCCATTCGCGCAAAAAAAATGTGAAAGAGAAAAATTTATTTGGGCTTCGAAATCATTAAATCATTAGGCATTCTAGGCGAAACAAAAAAAATAAATTGTGTTACTTTTCGTTGCTTCCAAAATTATACAAAAAAATACTTAAAGCGTAAAATGATTTTTTAATATGAACAAATTGGAAATTAATTAATTCATAAAAATTTAAAATTTTAAATAGAAATTACACAAAAAAAATATCAATTTGATAACACATATGTCGATTGTACCTCACAGAAAAAAAAGTAAAAAAATATGAACTAAATCAACAACAGTTTTACATGAACAAAAATAAGAAAAATTTTTTGCATCCAACATTAGTCATTATACATATTAAAAAAATAAAAGAAAAAAAAAACTAAATCAGTTCAATGAGATGAGAAACAAGATGTGAATATTGAAAAGGATTAAAATAAAGATGAAACAGAAAAAAAGAAACTAGGTTGATGCTTTTCATTTAAGTGTTTTAAGGTCTTCACGTGTGTGCTGAATTAGCACATACTAAAGTTCAACAATAGTTATTTGTAAGTTTCTTCAAATTATAAATTTTTTCAGGCTTATTTATGACTTTTGTGATTGTATGAATTTTTTTAAATTTTAAAAAAATTATTTTAAATTTCAAAAAAAATTATTTTGAATTTTTTCATTCAAAAACTTCCAATTTTTAATAAAATCAATTTTATAAATTTTGCATCTTACATCAGCAGATTCTTAACAATTTTAAATCATTTTAAAATAACATTTTTTAAAAATCTGGAAATTAAAACCGATCCAATGATCCCCAGCACAGTGCCATTGACCTTATTCAACGAAAGTATGTAAACATATGGACTTGATTTTGAATGAATCTCAGTAACTAAATACAATTGTTGATGCAGACACTTCTGACATGTAACATATCTTTAAAATAACATATTTCAAAAAAATTCTTCTAAATAATAAAGAACCTTTATACTGTCGTATCGAATTTCACTTAATAGGCTTGAAGTCATGAGACGCGACTTGTCATTTATGCTTAATTATAATTGCTGTATAATTAGCTAATTGCTGTGATTTCAGGAGGAAGTCATATAAGTAGTTTATTGAAGATTATCATTGATGAAATTTATTTGCGAACGTTGCGGCTCGTCTACAAATGATGTGTAATTAAAAAGCGAGGATTTTGAGGTGTTTATAAGTCAAAATGTTAAAATTAAATTTTTCGAAAGACGTCGTTTATTTTCAACTAATGTGTTTCTTAAACGTTTTTGAATCAAAAATTTCATTTCAAACGAAACAAAAGTCAACACAAGAAACAGAATTTTTCATCAACACATGTTACTGCTGAGTTTTCTAATTTTGGATGTTTTCAGCATATACTGAAAACCTTTGAGATCTGGATAATTTATTGTGTTAAAATTAACTTTAGATAAATAGCAAATTCAGTACTTAAAATCAAAAATCCAGTGTCGAGCATTTCTTGACCTGCAAATTAATTTATCTTATTTTCTGCGAAAGCTCAAACTTGCAATGTCGTACAAATGTTAAATGTATAAACTGTCAAAAGTAGCAAGTTAAATGTGACATTACCATTTTCTACGCAGCACATATTTCTTGTTGATTTAGCGGATGGGTCAGGGCAAGATTCGCTTTGATCATTTTGAGTTCATTTTTTATTTTGATGCTAAATCATTTTTGGTGAGTTTTTGTGAATTTTTTTTTTCTAGATTTTCTAAATTGAATTTTAAAGTTTTTTTTTAAAACAGATGAATATTAGCCAAAAAACTCCATCCTTCATCTTTCTGTAAAATGAACTGTAAATCACAGTCAAGACAATGAAAATATTTCAAATTTCTTTTCGCTTCACAAATTATCTTTACAACCTTTCTGCAAATTTATTTAATTATATTATTTTGCATTCAAAAAATATTTACATCTCAAAAATATATATTTTTTCAGTTTTTTTTAACCTCGTACATAAATAGAGTATTTGTTTAAATTTATTATGTTTTAAAAATAATTAGATTTATGATTAAAGTATATTTAATTATAATACTATAGTGACTTTTCTACAAAGTTAATTAAAGTTTTTATCAAAAATATTTTGCACTTATTTGATGCAAATTCTTGCTATTTTTGTTGTTGAACTGTCTATTTTTTTTAAAGCTAGCTTAAAGATAGTTGTACTTAGTTCATAGCTAGCTGCAAGTGTAAATAAGCTCAATACGAGTAATTATTGTGTTTTTTTTTTAATAAAGTTTGCTAGTTTTGTTAAGAAAGAAGCTTTTATCTGGCAAAGAATTTTTGAATATAATTTAAATTTGAGTTTAAAAATTTAAAAGAAATTTTTCAAAAGATTCTTCCAAATTTTTCAAAATTAATTAAAGTTAATAAGTTTTTTCATTTATAATATTGTCAATACATAAATTGACTAGCTACATAATTAATTTTTTTAAATCTGTACAACTACGTCCAGATTTCTGCAAAGAAATTTTGAACTAAATTTGAAAGAAATCTGGCAAACAACTAAGTCTAAATTGATCTTATGTGACCAAAAAGTGATGCTAATTCATTCGAGATTATTTAACGTAAATTCCTCCTTCGAACTAATTGTTGATAAAAGTCGTCGAACACTCCGTCTGCTGTCATTTGCTGATGATCCATTAGCATTACATTTGATTGGCTTTAGCTTATCATTCTCACGATTAAAATTATTCGTTAATACATAACACGTGTACATTGCACATACGACACCAAGTATAATACCACCTATGACATCCGTCCAATGATGTCTGTGATTCGTAACTCGACTCACGCTACATAAACTGACCCATAAAGCTAATAAAATTTGTAAAAATGGCACAAGGAACATTGATTTCAGTTTCGGAAGGCGACACTGTAAATACCAAATCATAAAAAGTGAAGCGTATGTTGATATTGATGCATGTCCACTTGGGAAGCTTCTTGAGACGTCACGCAGACTATATGAGGAAATATTTTTGTTTGTACATTCGTAATCTGTGATGAAGTCACTAAAAAGATGATGAGAAAAAGAGAGAATTAAGTTTGAGATTTATGAAGAGGCATAGAAGAGAATGTGCAGTATTGAGCGAGAGAATCAAGTATATGTGGATTTAAATATTTAATCTTGGGATTTAAGTTCGAAATTGACTAGTCATCTTTCGTCATTTTACTTTGAAGTCAGAACTAAATGAACTACTGGAATTTTTGTGTTTTTGGTCAGGGGTGAGTTAAGAATTAATTACATTTTTCTAATTTCTTATTTCTGGTAGATAATAGAATTATAATTTTGTGGGTTTAGTGCCAAACCGTATTTTTTGAAAATTTTGAACCTTATTAAAAAAATTCAACAACCTCCCGTCTCTCTCAAATGACTCTTGATTCCAACAATCCAAAAAATCTATCAGTGGCCCGTAAATTGATTAGAAATTCCAGAAAAAAAATATTCCACAACAAATTCCAGCCATAAATGATCAGAAAATTCCCCTAGAGTAATTTTTGAATGAAACATAAAGCCATAAAATATTAAAAATATTGCTGACAGTAGTCACGTACACGAGAGCATTAAATCCCATTAATGAAACAAAAAATCTCCATTAAAACTCACCCAACAGTGCAATTAATAGCAGCATCTGGACGGCATGTGTCAAGAAAATGAGGACGATGCTCGCCAACAAGCACCTTAGTAACATCCATCATTAAAAGTAAAAATACTAAATTTACAGCATAATCCTTAAACCAGAAAAGCGTCTTCTTCCAACTCTTCCTCAGCCTACATCTCAGACCATTATTTTCACCTTCGTCTAAGTCAATGTCCACAAAAATAAATTCAGCTATCCACATCTGATTTAATGATGAGCAAATAGAAATGAGAATTATGGACAATGAATATAAAATTAGCAAACAAATGTTTTTCTAAACTTACAAATAAAATTGGTGCAAGACCAAATAAGATGACCTAAAAAGAGAAAAGCATAGAAACTTTTTATTATTATTGCTGTGGTGATCGTTAAACTTCTTTATAAGTTGCTAATTTTATTCATTATTTGCATTTAAAAGAGCTTCTTTTTTAAGGAATTGATTTGGTCACTTTGTCGTGGGTATGTTGAACATTTGTTAACTTTTGAGGGAGATTTATGGTTTTAATAGGTAAATTCTAGTTAAACACGTGTTATGCACAGCTTAAGGTTGTTATTTTGTAAAGTTCAGTGCCATTTATGCAAGGTAAGTTCAGCATCTTACTTGTTTAAAGACAAATAAGGATATTTAAATTTTAATACAAGAATGAAGTTGAAACTTGAAGTTTTACAAGTCTCAGACCGGATGGGTGTATTTCCTTAAAGCGTAAATAATAAGTGCTTAACATTTATAGCACCGACTAAAGCATATCACAATAGGGTATCACCTAGTGTGCTAATATCGCAATTGTCATGATAAAAATCCATAATCATATAAAATGAGCATATCCTGACCAAATACATTCTAATCTCAGCAAGACGCTAGTCAAAAATAATTCGTTGCCCTAGTCGTGCCTCAATTTGTCGACATACACCAAACATATTAATTTTTTGACATAACAAACATAGAATCTTTATATTAAAATCATTACACATGTCTGCGTTATCAAAAATCTCAGAATCTACAAAATTTCTGGGCTCTACACTTGACCCAAATTCTGTTTAATTAAATCCTGCTGGAAGTTTTTGAACGCCTCGTTGACATTTAATTAAAAATAATCATGTCATAATAAATTCTTTGTAATAATTTAGAATTTAATGAACTGAGTCTCAAAAAATGCTCCTTCATCATGCGATCTTCTCGTCCGTAAATTTCTTTCAAAGAGAATATGTGAAAAATTTTTAATTTCGTTTATTATTTGCAATATTAATTAACACATTCATCTGGAAAATTAGATAAATAATCCGTATTGTATAATTTATATCGCTAATTCACTTAATTAAACATACACAAAACATTAATAAATTTTTTTTAATGGCTTAATGAGTAAGCTGTGTTGATAGATTTTTCTTTGCAAATTTCCGTATCGAATTTCGTTTTTGTAAAGTTATCACTTTGTCTCATGCAGTAATAGAGCTGTTCTTGGGTACCTTTTCCCTCCTGTATCACTAATACATTGTTTGTGATGCCTCCCCAATCTCATGTTACATTCCTGGTTTAGTGCGTTTGTGATTTATGGCCAATTTGGCAATGATATTAGTAGAGAAAAATGTTAAAATGTCATTAATTAGTAACAGATATAAAATATTAATTAATTTATGAAACATTTAATAAATTTAAAATTTCTTATTAACTGTTTATGAGACGCATTTTTATTGACTCTAAGTAGAAATAGCAAAAAAATTTCGACTGTGTGTGGCTTATGAGCTGCGTAGGAAGTGCAAAAAAGATTTAAGAACTACTAAAAACATAAATCTAGCTCTTATTTTTTTTTGCAAAAATCGCGGAAATTTAATCTGTTTTGAAATATTTTTTGCAATTTGAAGATCATTGAGTAATAATTGAGAAGTTTATTGCATGAACTACAAAGTATATGAACATAATAATAATGATGCAAAAAATGACATTACGATTCAAGATATGTCATAATATCGATTTCATATTAGCTTGACTTTGAATTTAATCTAGAGAAATATTCTAAAATAAAAATTTATGATTATTGATTTAAATTGACTTAAATTTCAAGGCACGGCAAGAAATTTATTTTTATTGCATTTTTTTTTTTCAATATTAAACTTAAGAATTTCGAAAAAAATACTGTCTTGCGGCATTCAATTGAAAAGACTATAAAATTGTGAATAGCCTAGAACAATGACTTAATTGAATCAGGAAATTTATGATCAGAATTATTTTTATTTGCGAAATTCGTGCCAATAATAAATTATTGGTTTAGAAACTTATTCGATTTTTGCACGCTTGTCGATGATTTTTAAAATTTTGATAAATTTTTTAATCGATTTTTCGTGCTTTAATTTAATTTTGTCAATTTTTTTAAATCAGAGAAATTGAATTTATTGCTTCTTTATTATTATTTCGTCAAAAAGTAGAACTCACGAGTTTTTAATTGCTTAATTTTAATTTTTTTGGTAACTTTTTAATAATCAATTCGTGAAATATTTCTTTGTTATAAAAGTATTAAAGGATATGGGCTATTTAGCCAGTAAAATAAACGCAAATAACACCAGCAGAGATAGCAATGCTATAGTTCGTATTAACCGCTAATACATTAAAAGATAAGTATCTCCCTAATCTTTTATAAGAAGTTATTAAGCGTTGGTTTTAATGTCACAATACAACTTATCGCAGGCTTAAATTTAATACAACGTTTTTTCCAAGAAAGTGACAAGAGCATCCAATACTATCCATGCACGTAGCTTATGTGCATGTAGCAAAATCAGAATTCCATCAATTTAGTGGAATTTTCATCACAAGAGGCTTGATTGTTCCGAACATATCAAATGTTGCCAAAATTTTAAATCGTCCATGAAATTAAAACTTTACCAAAATATTTATTTAATCGGAGACAAAAGGTTTCAAGTTAATGTAAAGACATCATCATCATTCAATGTTGCTTAGAATAAACCTGATAGCTTTCCCATTAACTTCTGGGAGGTTTTAAAAATAAAAAGACTAGATCGGTCTGGTTTTAAGATGTAAAATCCCTATCTGTAAGTTACAGACAAATTGCGTAAGTGATAAGAGATTAATAGTATTTCAATCTCCTGATTAATATGAATTAAAATCCATAAAAAATTATTTTGACTTTTCTGTCCTCGAAATAGTCAAAAGCCGACGCGACAAAATAAAGACAACTTCTTTTTATCTCCAAAAATGCAAATCAAAGAATTAGTAAAATTGAGCAATTTATTATGATAATCTTTAAATGTTGTGCAAATATTTATACACGACAAGCCTCCTTACCGTTTTTATCGAAATCGTATCCTTCTGTCGTATAAACGAGATCGACTTATCACCACAGAAAAAGCCACGCTTCACATTGCTAGCAAAAAATTCTATATAAACCAGTGTGGCAACAGCTGTAACAAGATGCAAACATTTCATATTAAATTACATATTCGAGATAATTTTTCATTTCTGAGTAAATGTGCTGAGAGAATTATGTTATATTTGTTTAGATAAAGGAGAATGGAAAGCTATCGACTTACCTAGTAAGAATATAAACAAATCGACTGTTATCCATGCAGCTTTCTGCAGTTGCACCCGACATGGTTTCGCTGCTGGCTTCATTATTCCTTTAATCTGTTGATTTATGCACTCAATTTTGACAATGATATTGATTCGTAAATTTATTAATCGACACTTAAAATTGATTTTTATGTTAAATATGTTAATACATTTGTGGACTTAATGTGGTCTCCGAAAAGCATGCAAATCTGAAAGTAAAAACAAGAAGGAGAATTAAATAAATAATTTCTGATATATTTATGATAACGGATGGTCATAAATTTTAATAAATTACAACTTTGTTTGTTGTAAGGAAAAGAGACGTTTTTAAGGAATGTCTTGGACTCTTAATTTTGCTCAACTGTCATCGCAATTGTTCAAACAATAATTTATTGATGTAATTTATCGAGTTGCTACATGTGTGATATTCAAGTTCAATTAGCTAACTGTCAGTGGATACGATCAAAATCATAAATTTCCTATGTATTTTTCATATCAATTCATTCGTGATTAATTACCATTTGACTGTGTTACCTGATTTGTGAATTTACAAAGTCTTTTAGTGGGTTTTTGCGATGGCTGAGACGCGTTGGTTTTGATATTTATTGAAAAAATTTATTGGAGTTTTAGGGGCTTCATAGTTTTTAAAAAGTTCAAATTACGTGGTTGTGAGAATAGCTTAAAGTTGGGGTTTTCATTTTAATATGGCTCATTAAAAGTCAAAAAAGTGCAATATTAAATTAGAAGCTAGTAGCTTTGGGACCGATTGCTCGGAAGATAAAATTCCTGTTCAGCTAAGTGCCTTGTTCGAGAATGTGGCTTATGAACAAGTGTAACAAAAAAGCTAACCTAGGGCGTACCCTACATACTACATACATATATAGGAACCTACTTTGAGTTTAAACAAGTGTATATCAAGTTACCAATTCCTGAGACATAACAAAGAATTTTTTATTCGAATTTTAAGTCGTAGAATAGAATATTCATAGAAAGCTTGGGATGGAACAACACATCCTCGATCGCAGTGCCGTTTTTGTTTTAAGCAAAACCCTACATTACATTCTATTCCATTCTATTCTTAGTCTCAGTAGGGTGACATTTTCTAATGGACTCAATTTAATGCCTGATTTCAGGTTCAATACCATTTAAATGTCAAAAATACGAGCTATAATAAATTCTTCATCTCACAGTTTCAAGCACTGCTGTAAACTGTTAATATGCAAAATGATTCAATTTAAATGATGATTTTATGACAATTTATTAACTATTGTTCAATACATCCCACTTGTATTTCCCACGACACTCAAAAATTGGCTCTTTTTTTCCACAGTAAATGATTTTTTTTTGGATAAAAATCATCTAATCTCATGAAAAAATTGATAATCTTCCGATCGACACACCTCGCCATATTTTTGAAATTTATGTTAACAGTTGTGTCCATAACTTTCAATAAATTACAGCACTTAAGATAAGAAATCAAAAGATTTGCAATCTTTTACACTTTACCGCATCAGTTGCCGATCAAAAACCTCTATTTCCACTACTACCGCAAAAGTTTTCGCTTTCAATTGTGGCATTCAATAAATAAGGTGTAATAAATTAATAAAATAGATGTCAATTGCACATAAACAAATTTATTGCCGTGTGTGTTAATTTTAACGGTTTTGATTTTTCAATATTTTATGAGAAATTGAAATTTTATGATGACGTGCAACAAGTGGTAAATTAATAAAAATCAAATTAATTTTTTTCAAACGTCCCCGAACTCTTAATGGAGAGATGAAAGTAGAATAAATGACTGAACAATTAATTGAAATTGAAATCTTGTCATGTACGATTCTAATTCATAAACATATAAAAGAGATGTTTATTTACTATTATTATAGAAATGACCCTCAGATTTGCATTCCTCGATTGATCATATTTCACTTTCCTAGTGATTCAAGCAGCAAAATATGTCACCTAATTAAGATTGTTAGCAGCTAAATAATTGAGATGTCAAATAAATCATTCGTGAATATGTAAATTAAGTCGTTTAAGGTACGGAATGAACATATTTTAGGAATGGAATTTTATTTGATTAATTAGCCCTGATTCTAGGGTTCGAAGTTATTGACAGATCTAATGAGACATGTTTTATGTTAAATATATTCAGGTTCAATAGCGAGTTCCCTGTAATTCACAACTGACCTCAATTTTTAGCAAATCTGAGTAGATTCAGTGCCAAAATTTCATTCTGTTTCGTTTCGCTTGTTAATTTAATGAGAAATAAAAAGAAAATTGATAGGTACAGGTTGTGAGATTGAAAATTGCGGTGTGTTAAAATATTGACATTAGAATTTGGTTTTCGTTGAGCTCTATTGAGGCTGATGACATCTGTTTCGTAATTTTAGTTCAAAATCTGTTCACATTTAATAATAAAAGCGAAAAAATTAAATAAGTTTAAGAATTTAACGTTGAAAATTGGTTAAAACATAATTTTCTTGAATTTTGTGATTTCCCATAAAACAGAGTTTTAATTTGATTAAGTAACTGTTAAGTGATGCACCTTTAACTTGATCTTAAGTAATTGCATAGTTTTAAAAGCTTGTGAAATCTGTGTTAGAAAAGTCGTTGTATTTTGACATCAAATAATTGAGAGGGTACTTTATAGTTGACTCTTTACATGAAATTAAAAACAATTGATTCCATCCTGATCTGTACTTATTTAATTTTCTAGTTTTTATGGAAGTCTAGAGTCCAGCGGCTCTTTATTTTCTAAAAATTACCTAGAAAATAGAAAATATGCAAAAGTTCTTTTCAAAAACTCCCAATTTTCAGTAATGTATAGTAAACAGAAATTTCAAAAATTTCTAGTCATCTTCTGCCCACTGTCCTAACTTATCTGCTAGCATTAAAGAGTATTACGCACTAAAATCCAAACTTAACAAAGAAACACTTCAAAAAAAAAACCATAAATTTCAAAAGATGAGAATAAGCGTCAAGAAATGAATAAAACTAAATGCTTAAGCCATTTAATAATCATTCATAGAATGTAATAAAAGCATATAACAGCCTACACAAAATAAATCATAATTCTCTTTTCTTAACAAAGCTTCTGGCGTACAAACGAGCACGAATTATTTCCTAATTAAAGTGTACTTTAAATATATTGTAAGCTATATAGGCGAGTTGATTTGAAATAAATGGGGCATTCAAACATGTAATATGTGCACATTTACCCAATATAATGAACATAGTGCGCAAAAAAATAAAAATTAAAGTGGGAACAGAAATTATATTTGGAATCATTGATAGTTTTCAGCTGCTGTTGAAGTTTGTGCGGTTCGGAAAGGTCCGTAAAAAAGCATCAACACAGTAATTTAAAATAATCATAAAGTTCATGGCGAATGTCATAATACAATTTGTGATTTTCATTGGTTGTTTAGAAGAGCTTAATTTGCATTTGAGACAGAAAATTGGAAGTTTTATAGCTTCATTTAAATTTGATTTTATTTCACAGAGAATCCAATTCAAATTATGTTTTAATAAAAAAACATCATAAAAGTTGCATAACCCGTAATGATTGCCTATTGAATTTATGAGGTATTGTGTTGCTGAAAATCACAAATCTTTCAATAATAAATTGGTCATTAAAATTACAAAATTAGAGATTCGCGTGCTTCAGATGGGATCATTTATTCATGATGTCCATCAAATTAAGAGACTTTTCAGTGATATTTAAATAAAGATCTCTAAGAAGGGGGTCTGTACATATTGGACATCATAAATGAACGATTCCAATTGCTTGATTTTTGAAGATATTTCATTGAGTGGCATAAATCACCAGTGCAAAACGACATTTATGGATATGAACTATAAACTATCAATAAATCATTTAAGTTACAGAATAACAAAAGTTTTTAATGGACCAATTTTAGTGTTTTATGGAAATGAAAATGAAATTTGACTCTAGACGAGCTGACTAGTTAGATAAATTTGCATTAAACAGCTAATAACTTTACAGACTTGTTGTCTTCATCCATTATAAAAGTCTGCATAATGAAATTTAATTTTTTATGGCGGAAAATTTTAATAATTCAAATAATAACAAAAAAGCAGAAAGTTAATGACACTGCATGCGGATTTTATTTATTTATTTATTTAATGATTTTTAATTCGATGACAAGCTTTTGAATCCTGCTGAATCTTAATAAAATGCCATCAAGTCTTATTAGCATCTGAGGATTTCGCAGAAAAATAAATTTACGATTTATTTTATTAATTTTCACTGAGGTATTAAATCTCATAAAATGCTGTGGTAGTTTCGCTAGTTTCTAGCCTTGATGGATGTCATTGATATGGCGAGAAAATTTTCAGGATGCTAAAAAGTTCATTTGAACGAAATGAAGCTTTGAATAGTTATGATTCGCGAAAAGACTCAAAATTTGATTATATATCAGGTATTCTTTGTGTAGCTCACAGACTTAGAATTGTTTAATCCATCCCATGGCATTTATTGCATCTACAACAGCTTAACAATTCAAAAGCAATAATTAGAAGTCAACCTTTGTCTGCTGTGTGCGACATTCCTATCAACCAGTGAAACAGACAGTAAAAAGCAAAGTTTCAGTAAGTCTTAATTCTCTTGAAACTACTTAAATCTTAATTTGTTGACAGAAATTAACCAGTAGCCAGCAACAAAGTTTAAAAACAATTGAGATGTTAAATAGGTCATTACACAAGAATTCTTTAAAAAGTAATATTTCATTCATAAGTTTCGGTTTGCAATGACCGATTTTATTATAATTTACGATACCACAAATTCTTGCATTAAGCAACAAAATACAGCATTAATAACCAGAAACTATTTTCAGATACTCGTAACTCGTTTGTAGCAAAATAATTCTTTGTAAATTCTGTGTGATAAATTGCACAGTTGGTTCTCATTTAGTTGAAGGAGTTGTGGCTGTAAGTGACGAACGCATTTTTATTTGAAAATTTTACGACTTCCTTTAAGAATTTTTTTACGATCGTGTAACATGTGCGGTCATATGATTAACAAACGTAATATTCGTCTTATATTCGCAACAAGAACTAAGAATGTTCAAAAGAGAAAATAAAGAATAAAAAGTCATGCGTTGCTCGAAAACATGAACAGAATAAAAAATTTCTTATTTCATTAATTACCATCGCCTACTTAAAACAGCTTTTACCATACCTTACTAAT